TCAACAAGTAATTATGAGTTCCTCAAATTGTCTTTCATTACTTATTTTATCGATTCTGAAAAGCTAAACGTACTGAAAACATGTCCAATGAACCGAAGCTTACTCTTCATGTCTTTGAAAGTCGGCAATATTTGGCATTTGTGTAGGGAACGAATTCGAACTCGACCTAGCACTCTAACGATATGGGATTCAACTGAAATCGTACTGACAAAAACACAGTTTAAAATTAGTTCTTATAACGTACCAAAATATGTTGAAGCATTGATATGTATGAGTTTTACATTATCTATAATTTCGAACAGTGTTTACCTTTGAAAACTTGAACGTATTTTTGAAAACCGTTTAATTCCAACCACCCACTGACGTCATTCACCGTCCAATGCGTCATAGTTACAATTTTGTACGAAGCAGCTAGATCAGGATGGTCCATAGGCAGAGTTTTTCCACGGATAGTGATTGCCTTTTCATGAAATTGCAATGATTTTGTATGCGCGCCCATATTTTCGAGGCTTGCTCCCACATTGTCGCAGATAACAGCCACGTGAAGATGTTCTGGAGGCAGAGTTACTTCTTGAATGTTGTGGGCTTTTTCAAAATATTCGAGTGCTTTTGCATGCTCATCCAGTTTTTCATGTACCAAAGCGAGGTTATTGTAGGAAGCAGCCAAATTAGGGTGGTTTATAACATTGTTTTCTTCATAGATTTTAAGTACTTTCAAATAGTATTGTCGGGCACTTTCTAACTCATTCAACTCGGTATGAACCACGCCAAAGCTGTTGTAAGACGCTGCCAGTTCGGGATGATTTTTTGGAAGTACTTTCTCACGGATTTCGAGTGCTTTTTTGTATAATTCTAGTGCTTTTGGAAAATCATTCATGCCAAAATACACTGAACCCATGTTATTATATAAAGTTGCCAATTCAGGATGGTTTGCTTGTAGAATGGCACATGCAATTTCCAGTGCTATTTCAAATTTCGACAGAGCCTCCGTATACTGACCCATGTTCTTATGCGCCAAAGCGATATTACTATAAGAAGAAACCATCTGAGGATGATTTGATGGCAGCGTCTGTTGGTAAATCAGAAATGATTTTTCGTAATACTCAAATGCTTTTGAATATTGACACATTCTGTCAAATATCGAAGCGAGGTTACTGTAGGAATTAGCTAAATCAGGATGGTTCTTAGACAGAGATATTTCTAAGATTTGATGTGATTGTTCGTAAAATTCCAGTGCTTTCAAGTATTCACCCATGTTGTTATATACTTCACCAATGCAGTTGTAGGAAGTAGCCAAGTCTGGATGACTTGGAAGCAAAGATTTTAATGTTATTTTGAGATCTTTTTCGTAATATTCAAGTGCTTTCGAGTATTCACCCATGCTGCTATACACTCCACCGATGCCGCTGTAGGAACTAGCCAAATCGGGATGAATCCGAGGCAGAGATATTTCAAAGATTTTAATTGATTTTTCGTAATATTCCAGTGCTTTCGAGTATTCACCCATGTTGTTATACACTAGACCGATGTTGTTGTAGGAAGCAGCCAAATCGGGATGAATCGGAGGCAGAGCCTTTTCTCTTATTTTGAGTGATTTTTCGTAATATTCCAGTGCTTTCGAGTATTCACCTATGCTGCTATACACTAGACCGATGTTGTTGTAGGAAGTAGCCAAATCGGGATGAATCGGAGGCAGAGCCTTTTCTCTTATTTTGAGTGATTTTTCGTAATATTCCAGTGCTTTCGAGTATTCACTCATGCTGCTATACACTCCACCGATGCAGCTGTAGGAACTAGCCAAATCGGGATGAATCGGAGGCAGAGATATTTCAAAGATTTTAATTGATTTTTCGTAATATTCAAGTGCTGTCGAGGATTCACCCATGTTATTATACACTAGACCCATGTTACTATAAGTAGGCGCTAATGAAGCATCATCTTCAGGAAGCGTTTTCCGGTTGATTTCGAGTGATTTTTTGTAGAAAGTAACTGCTTGTTGGTATTTACCTTGATCGTTTTTCAACCGTCCAAGTTGGTAATAGATATGTGCCCTCTCAATATCATCAGAAGGATTCTTGAGCAATTCATTATAGAGTACTTCAGCTTGATCGAAATGACCCACTTTGAGCATTAATTTGCCCATTTGACACCATCCTTCACCGTCGATCTCCTGTTTGATGCAATCAGTAAGAGCAGAAAGTTGTGGATCACTCTCGTCAGTAATAGTCAATGGTACTTCCCAAATAGGACTATTCTCAGCCGTCTGTTTAATTTCACCAACACGAAAAACAGTGTGCATTGTAAAAAGAATTTCTTGTTCTCCTGGGAACGCACTCTGTTCATCAATCATTGCAAATGGTGTGATTGAAGTTGATATTTTACTTGGATCTACTGTCATAATAAATATAACACCCACCCTATCTGGATTTCTCTTTAGGGTGCCTTGAACGAATAATGTGGCCACTTTTTGTTTCTTACTAGTCGATAAGAAATTATTGAATGAAAGGAGCCCACCTTTTGAATTCCGTAGCTTTTGAAAGTCTTCTTTAGTCATTCCCTGGCCACGATAAACGGTAAGCACTGTCTGAAAATCCACCAGCTGTTGCTGGTGCAATTCTTTCAGCCGAATATGCAAATGTCGAATAAAAAAACCTAATTTTGTCATCACCTCCATATCGAGCATTCGCAAGGCATGATTAAGCATACCAAACAGAAACATTTGTTCCGTATACCACCAGACTGGTGACCTTTCGCGGTACTCACGCTTAAATTCACTTATTTCAGTTTCAGAAATATTTTGTTCTCGGCAAAATTTCACTAAGGTGTTCATCGATTTTTCGCCATCGTCGTCAATTTCTAATATAATATCCTTGAAAATTGCCGAGTACATGTAATTTGGTGGTAATTGATCAAGATTTTTCTCATTGGACGCTGTATCTGACGTGCATTGCTGCGAAACGAAACTCATCGGGATCGAATCATGATCGCATGCCCGTGTAGCCTTTGCTAATTGTTTGCATATGGGCTCTATTGTGCCATGAACGCCTTCAACTTTAGACCAATCTTTCGCCCATACTTTGTGTAGATCTTCGTTTTCTGTGTAAACAAAGATCGTATCAACTTGAGCCATATTGTGTATGAGTGGCATTGCCTTTTGTCCAAGCGACCCAGATGTAATTAAAAAAATTTTTTGACCATCGCTACGTTTCAGGTATTCAACACATTGCTCGACGTCAGTAAATAGATCTAATGCGGCGACAATCTTTCGAACCTCTATGATGCACTGTTGAAAATGCTCTTTTTTCTCGTCAATATTGGTATCAAGCCATACGACAACGTAATTTTGTACGAATCTAGTAGTAGTTTTTTCGGTATCTTTTTTGGTTACCACTGATACCTTTTTTGTACTGTGTTCGGTATAGCTAGCGCTACTAGCTGTGGTCGCTTTTTTCTCGGTACTATGCCCGGAATAATTAACCTTGCTGACTGTGTGTGAATTTTTGGAATCCATACGGCACTGATTAATGAATTTTTACTACAGTAAGAAAAAAGGAATTATTGCATTCAATAACTAAAAAGGGTTATTTTAGGTGACTGCATTATCAGTGATGAGAACAATTACATCTACAGCCTTTTCGGGTTACTATCCAATATGTTTAACCCTATGAAAATTCTAGTGTCGTAAGCATTCCTTCGTCAATATCTAACTCCCAATTTCGTACAATGATCTGTGAAGCTTCTCATATTTTATTTATCTCTCTTATTTGATAATAATTTCAGAAAAAGAATTATTTTCTAGTCGATACTTCACGAATAGAGGTGTCAGCCGTACGGCTGAGCCGCCGCAGCCGCCGATTTTTCTAGGACATCAGCCGTCGCCGCCACCAAATTATTTATAATTTAAAAAATCTTTGAGGAGCCGCCGCTTTGTAAAAAATGATTTCGCCGTTGCGCCGCTGCCAGTAATAAAAAATTTTAATAGCTTCATCAGCCGCCGCTGACATCTATACATATGCGATCGAATGTATTTATGTTAATTTTCATCACTTGAATTTATAACCAATTATAAATGTCGTTCATGAATGTCAATGACAAAGAAAATTTCTGTGTTCGGATTAAAAAAAGAAACAAAGCTGATTTAACGGTCAGAATGCTGTTAAGTCATCGATATTCGTAGTAGCTTTTTACTTATCTATATATTTGCTGATTTATTTATTTATTTTAATTACATTGGTGAGTATTACTTATCGATAATGTTGGTGTTATAATTTATTTACTTTATCTTTATTAGTAGTAGTGATTATTATTAATCGATAATATTGTTGGGTTGTTTATCTACTGGAATTATATTGTTGGCTGTTACGTGTAGATATTATTGCTGGTTTATTTATCTACTTTATCTTTAGTGGTAATTATTTCTTACCCATAATGCTGACGTTATTACTTATCTACTTTACCTTTAGTAGTGACTATAATTTATCAATAATATGATTGCATTGTTTATCTATTGGAATTACATTGTTGGCTATTACTTATCAATAGTGTTGTGAGTTTATTTTTCTATTTGAATTATATTGGTGAGTATTACTTATCGATAATATTTGTATTATTATTTATCTACTTTATCTTTAGTGGTGGTTGCTGCTTATCGATAATATTGTTGTTTTCTTTCATTTTAATTATTCAAGATGCCACGCAACACAGAAAAGATACATGATTTGAATAAAGACCTTTTTGTTAAAATAAAAATACCAAATGTACCACGGCCATCGTTTATATGGAACTACTTTGGACATTTATATAAACAACCTAACGAGCCATTAGATATAGAGAGAATATATTGTAAAATATGCTTTGATAAAATAAAAGAAGAATATTCCGATTCAAGTTTTTTTTCGAAACGAAGAAGAATTGGTATTTATGGTGTAACCAGCGGAACAGGCAATATGAAAAATCATTTGTTAGCAGTTCACCAACTAACAGAAGTTAATGAAACGAGAAGAACAAATAACCATATACTTTCAATGTTTTCTCGTGATCGTGATTCAACAAAGTCTTCACAATTAAAAGAGCAACTTGGTCATCAATTGACCTTAATGTGTTGCAAAGATCTTCTTCCATTTTCAATCGTCGACAATGAAGGTAGGAAATCCTGAAGAACTTATCGTGCAACTATTAACTCTGTTTATCTTTAGGTTTTCAAGATTTTTTAATTGCTAACAAAGTTGTTAGTAAAAAAACTGAAATCCCATCTCGATCCATTTTATCACCTGTCAATCTTAACAAAATATATAATGTATGTGTTGAAAAAACAAAAGAAAAAATGAAATTATCAACAAAGTATCCGACAATAACGTGTGATGCATGGTGTGATAAGTACAAACATCGTTCCTACATTTGCATCACGGTTCATTTTATAGATTCAAAATTACAATTACACAGATATAGTTTAAAAACGCAACCGTTTGATGAAGCTCATACGGGAGAAGCTATAAAAGATCTTATATCAGGTGTTTTAACTGAATTTGGTATAAATGTACATAATGTGATTGTAGTAAGTTAATTTATCGGTCAAAATTTTAGGAATTCGTGTCTTTTTTACTTGTCTAGGTTTCGGACAAAGGTGCGAATATGCGTAAAGCATGGAGATTATTAAATGTCATTCATATATTTTGTGTTGCTCATGGAATTCATAATTTGTTGATGAAGGATTGTTTTCCTAACATGCATTACGTTTCAGAACTATTTGATAAAGTGCAATTGATTATTAACAAGCTTCGTTATCGTCAACATGAACTTGAAAATGAACATTTTCAATTGGATACAAAAAAATATAATGATTTATTTTCGTCTATCAATAAAGCTGGTGAAATTTTAGATGCAGATTTAGCTTCAACAAATCTTGATGCTGATGATTCAGAAGTATTGAATGAAAAATGTCAAAATAGTAATCCAGAAGAATTATGGTTATCCAACGATTTAAAAATGAGGTCAAACACGAGCGAAAACACATACAAGTTCAATTGTTCAGCATTAATCAATAACCACAATGATTCCAATAGATTTCACACTTTGAAAAAACGTGTTTTAACGCGTTGGAACACAATTTTGATTATGCTTCGGTCGTATGCCGATAACATATCTAGTATTGAAGTTATACTCGGTCGATTAAAACATTTTGATTTAATATTGTCTGTTAATGAAAATCAAATTGTTCGTGATTTAATTGAATTTCTTTCTTTATTTGAATCCACAACAACGATATTATCAGCATCAAAATCTTATCCAACTATCAGCTTATGCTTACTATTAAGAATAGTAAGTATTTAAAATAAAGATTACAAACACTTTTACTTGAGTACTAGGTCATGATAATCGAACTACATTAGAACAGGATATTTAAAGGCACTGGATGCTCTCTGTGATTTCGAAATACTTTGCATGAATTTCAGTTCAAAAGGATAGTTTAAACGATTATTCATTTTAGGAAATCGAGTCTCTATTACGTATCGATGGAATGGAGTCATCAGTGATTGAAGAATTAAAATGTTTACTGTCGGAAAACCTGGATAATCGATTTCCTGTGTCTCATCTGAATATTTGTGCATTTTTGCTTGATCCATCTCAATTAAAAATTGATATTAGTAAATATTTGGCTCAATGTCAAACAAACAAAGAATCAATATTATGCGAAATGGTTAAAAAGTTTAGAATCAATCATGTTACACAAGAATCTGCAAACAGCAATGTATCAACATTATCACCATCATGCACATTGGTAACAACAGCAACATCAGACTCAAGTTCTTCAACGACAACATCAGACTCAAGTTCTCCAACGACAACATCATCTGCTTCAGTGAAACGGATTTTGTCCGTGGAAAGTTTAAATCCACCGGTACAAAATTTAAAAAAACTTAAAGAAAATTTAATTCAAAAACACAAACCAACACTATCATCTGGTATTGATCATACTCTGAACGAAATACAAAATTATTTACAATTAGATATTCATTGTGACGACGTGCTTCAATTTTGGCAATCATCAGGAGATGCATACCCTCATCTAAAAAGTCTGGCTCAAATTATTCTTGCTATTCCAGCAACATCGACACCAAGTGAACAAGTATTCTCGACAACTGGCCTGATTCTCAATGCTAAACGAACAATGTTATTACCGGAAAATGTTGGAAAAATACAGATGATTCATGATAATTATAATTTATTAAAAAACACTTAATATTTTATTTTATTTTTTTGTATTTTCCTTTTGCTTTTGTATTTTCTTTCTAGTCTAATACTTTGAAGAGTGTACATTTTGTCATAATTGCTCATCTTGTTACTATAATAGTTATGTATTTTTCATTGTGTCATAATATAGAATGCAGTTATACATGTTATGTTAAAATGGTAATGAAAAGCGATTTAAATAAATAGGAACCATTGATTCTCAAAAGAATACTCCAATTTTTAACTTAGCCGCCGCCGCCACACAATGACTTATAAATTTTAGCCGGCGCCGCCGCTGTGGAAAAAAATTTAAGGAATTATAGCAGTCGCCGCTGAAGAGCGTACTCCTTTAAATAACGAGCCGCTGGGCATCTTGAAAAATCGAAATTTTTTGCCCGCCGCCGCTGTTCAACCCTTCGGCTGACACCTCTATTCACGAAGTTCCCCACTATTTACTCAAGTTTAGTTTAAAGATAAAACACTTCAATTTTGTTTTGAGACAAACTTTGGCAATAATGACATCTATGGAATTCGAGAAGTCAATATAATGAAAGAATTAAGATGTTCAAACTGTATTGACCACGGGGGAAAAGGTGGATTCAGGATTCCCATGGAATCCCACATGAATTCTCGGAATTTTTATAATAA